AAGCACCTCTGGCAGCGATTACGGCCTCGTGTCATCTTGGGTATGACGCTACAAGCTTGTCACACCTGTATTTGAAGAGTTTCTCCTATTATTTTCTGCAGATCCTCTCAAGCTCTGTCAGGTTGGATGGGGAGCGTCACTGCACAGCTATTTTCAGGACTCTCCAGAGATGTTTGATCGGGTTCAAGTGCGGGCTCTGGCTGGGCCACTCAAGGACATTCAGAGACTTGTCCCGAAGCCACTCCTGCGTTGTCTTGGCTGTGTGCTTAGGGTTGTTGTCCTGTTGGAAGGTGAACAGTCTGAGGTCCTGAGCGCTCTGGAGCAGTTTTCATCAAGGATCTCTCTGTACTTTGCTCCGTTCATCTTTCCCTTGATCCTGACTAGTCTCCCAGTCCCTGCCGCTGAAAAACATCCCCACAGCATGATGCTGCCACCACCATGCTTCACCGTAGGGATGGTGCCAGGTTTCCTCCAGACGTGACGCTTGGCATTCAGGCCAAAGAATTCAATCTTGGTTTCATCTGGACTCCAATCAAGTTGTAGAAACATCTCAAGGATGATCAATGGAAACAGGATGCACCTGAGCTCAATTTCGAGTCTCATAGCAAAGGGTCTGAAAACGTATGTAAATAAGTTATTTCTGTTTTTTTATGTTTAATACATTTGCAAACATTTCAAAAAAACTGTTTTCGCGTTGTCATTATGGGGTATTGTGTGTAGATTGATGAGGGGAAAAAATAATTTAATCAATTTTAGAATACGTCTGTAATGTAACAAAATGTGGAAAAAGTCAAGGGGTCTCAATACTTTCCGAATGCACTGTATATACTTTTTTAGCGTCATCTCCAAACAATGTCAGTTTCCAAAAACACCAGTCCCAGGCTTGTCTGCTGGGACACAGCACCTGCTGCAGTGCGATTTTGGAGCAGAGCTGTTAGTGAAGGTCGCTAGGAGGCTGCCTGCCTCACCGTACCGCTGGTTTCCATGACGGCATGCGGTGTGTGTGTGTATGTGTGTCTTTGTCTGTGTGTGTGTTATGCTGGAGCAGGTGACTGGTACTGACAGGGGCAGATGGCTGTGGCAGTACAGCTCTCACCTTCAACCATCCGCTCCTTAAACATCTCAACTACTGATAATATTAAAGTGATTAAGCTAGCTTTGCTATTATGTCAATAACAGCATAGCTGGAACGCACTCTTTACCAATCAGATTGCATGGCCAGATCTATCCGTTATATAATTATTAAGATGATGCAAATATTGTAATTTCAGGTAGAGAATATTCTTATTTCTCATGTGGTCAATATACACTTCTGCTTAATCAACATTTATCATTTTCATCAACACCAATAACACAGAATGATCTGCTAGGGGTTTGCAGCCCAGCACCATCTGGTGGGTTTTGTGGTTAGTGTAGAGAGGAACTGCGGTGCTGATGAGGGAGAGAGGAAGAGTGTCTCTGTAATTGTGTTTGGCAGCACTGCAGTGGCGCTGGGACACTGTCCCCTTGCAGTACAGACCACTAGATGTTGCTAAAGGACCATGTTGTAGGTTGTGGATTGATACTGTCTGAACATATGGATAATATGCCAACGGGTTTTTATAGCTAAATGTGTGGACCACTTGTTGTGTCTACTGTAAGTGATATTTGTTGGAGAAAACAGCATAACATTTGCAGTCTTCAGTGATCATACTGTTAACATGACAGACATATAGGCTTCAGTATGTATGTTTACCATTGATACTGGGCCACCACTGTTGGTCCTGGTCTGTAGGGCCGTAGGACTGGTGACAGCAAAATGTGGTGACATCCGTCCATTTCCAGTAGGCTGTTCAGCTGCAGCCTGCCACGACACCAGAAGAACAGAACAGAACAGGACAGAACAGTGGCTGGATTGTGTATGACCAGAAAAGCCCTGAAAGCCCATTGACACAGAAAGAGGGAAACCTAATCCACTCTAAAGTCCAAAGTGTTTCCCGGAAGACATCCAATGACCAGTACAAAACCAAACCAAAATAGGATATAGTGGCTTAAAAAGTTCAACTCTGTCGTATTTGACCAAGTTCCCTCTGGGAAGAACAAAGTTATTCTATTCTATTCTATTTGTCTGGTAAATAATGACATTGTGCTGGTATTGTTACCACAGTTACTGTACTGACTGACCCACCTATCTCAGTCCTGTAAGAAAGGAATCCAGGAAGAGGACACCAGGAAAAATATTTCAGAGGGCTTGTCCACTCCATACTTTGATAACAGTCCCCCTCGGCCCCCCCCCTTCCCTCACATCTCCCTTTTGAGATGGTTTGAGCCATTAGACAGAGGCCCATTGTGTAGAACTATCCATCTAGACAGACCGAGGGAGACCAATTATGTGGCGATGGACCGTTGAAGCGGAGGCTGACGATAGTGGGAATTCTCTTATGGCCTCTGAGCAGCATTGTGATAGCTGTTCAATTAGTTCTAACTGCTGTAACGTGTTATGGTGATTGTCGCCTGCGAGTTTCATACTGTAAACAGGCACCTCAACAAAGACTGGTGCTCACAATAGGCCTCTCTATTCCATGTATGTTTCTAAACCATTGTTCAAGCCCAGCTCTAACACACCTGATGGAAATACTGTAATCAAAGGCTTGATGATACAGTACGTTTACTAGTTGAGTCAAGTGTGTGTGTACAGGGCTGGAACAAAAAGTTTCCCCCCTTTGGGTCTGGAGTTGAGGAATAAAACCTAATTCCTTTCCCTGGATACTAAGTCATTGTTGTGGAGAGAGAGAACAATAATATTTGTTCAAATTTGTTAATAATATAATCATATTCATATTATAGCACACACTTATAGGGTTTATCAATGGGAGTTTTCCCTGGCACTATCCCACTTTGTGTTCCTTTGTGTGCTTATAGCTCCATTAAGAGTCAAGGTGGACAGCATGTATACCTCATCCACAGGATGTACCTACTGACTATGAGTAATTGGAGCTTGTGAGAGAGGAGGCAGGAGGGAGGGTGGGAGAGAGAGAAAGAGCGATAGAGGGAGGGAGAGATTTTGAGTGAAAGGCGGCCAAGTTCCGTGTCGTGCTTAGTGCCCAAGGTCGGCAGGGGACGTTGCAAAAGTTTACATAGCGAGAGAGGGGGGTGAGAGAGAGAGAGAGATAGAGAGAGAGAGAGAGATAGAGAGAGAGAGAGAGAGAGAGAGAGAGAGAGAGAGAGAGAGAGGGCGGAGTGAACAGAAACAAACAGAGAGAGAGAGAAGAGAAAGAGGCGCTGCTGGAAAAAACGTATCTAGCTTGGGAAACTTGCTGTTAGGAGAGAGGGAAAAGAAAGCGACTAGAAAAATAAAAGAACAACCCAGACTTACCAAGTGCCGTCATATAACTGTGTGTGTTAGCTTAAGCTGACTTGCTAGCTGAGTCTTAGGGCTTATGGAGTTAGAATCCAGGTGATGTACTGCACTCGGACTAGCTAGCAAACTGACCGGATAAGACACTGAGGAAAACAGAGAGGTAGACGGGTGAGGGGTGAGGGGGGGGGGGGGGGGGGATGAGATCAGGCCGGGGCGCCAGGACAGGGAGAGGGGAGTACGGGGGGGGTCAGTAGGGTGACCAGTTTGAGACACTCATACAGGGAGGGGACAGGTACGACAAGGAAGGCCCGCTCTGTGTTCTGTTGGAATGGCTCACTCGGCGAGGATAGGTACCTTCCTACTCGCCGCTCAAGGCGGAGGTAAGAGCTCTACTCCTTCTCTTCTCTTCTCTTCTCTTCTCTTCTCTTCTCTTCTCTTCTCTTTCTCTTCTCTTCTCTTCTCTTCTCTTCTCTTCTCTTCTCTTCTCTTCTCTTCTCTTCTCTTCTCTTCTCTTCTCTTCTCCTCTCAGACTAGGTAGTGTGGAAGGTTGGGACTACAGCCCGCAGCTCCCACTGTTTGACTTACTGTGAATTTACTCTGATTGAAAACTTTTATTGCAATGCTTTGTGCTTTTCAGTTACAGTAGGTGCTGTCCAGAAAGTACACCATAGTACACCAAAACGTTTAATAACTGACCTGCTTCAAATAATACCACAAATATATCTGCCTTCTAATCCTCTCACTACCTCTGTAGGCTCCATATGAAACAAGGAAACGGGGGTGTCTGGTGATCAGTCATTGCTCAGTAATGAAGCCATTCATTCAGATAATAGAATGGCCTGTTTGCTCTGTGGAGGTGTGTATGACACAGTGATAATAAGGAAGTCTGAATGTGCTGTGCTGTAGTCCTGGTAGTCTGGGTAAAGTGTGTTTCTGCCATACTTTAAATACTGTTCCCAAGCCTGTATTCGTGGGTGGATATATTATGGCTGAAGCCTAGACTTGTAGTTCTATAGTAGTCCTCCTCTATCATTTGAAACCATGTATTATCAACAGATAGAACTCACATGTCTTAATCTTCTGCTTTTTCTAAGCGAAAAGTTCTGTGCTTGTTCCAAGGTGACATAACATGCTTAAACTATTATCACAGTATAATTGAGATATAGTATGGCCTGCACTCCTGAACCCTCTACTACATTAAAGGGGGCTTAATGAGTGGGTGATATAGAGAGAGTTACAGGAAAGGATAGATTTAAAGAAGGAGGTTGTAAAATGTGTCATCCTGTTATAGTGGCCTATTTATGCTTAACATGTTACACATTTGAACGTAAGGTAATGAATTATCATTGTGTCACACCAGAAGAAAGCATTGGCCTACAATAGTAAAGGATCCAGGACAATTATTTTCAGTAGACCTGACCAGAGACTTACAGTGTTGCTGTAAGCTTTACAGTGCTGCTGAGAAGAAATGACAGCAAAGTTGTGGGTTACATTCTCATTCACCCACCCCTCCCTTCACACTTTCTCTTTGTCCCCCGCTCCCTCTCTTTCTCCCTCAATCCCCCTCCCTCTCTCTCTTTCTCTCTCAACTAATTTCTCCCTCTCTTCCCCCCTACTTCTTCAACCTCTTACTTTTTCTCTCCCTCTCCCCCCCTCCAGGGAGAAGGCTCGTCTGGCGACAGACTTGGAGCTGGATCAGGACCTCAGTGAGCGGCTGGGACTGGGGAGCAGTGACACCCTCACCAACGGTAACCGTGCTGACGGGGAGGCCGCCAAGCGCCTGGCCAAGCGCCTCTTCACCCTGGACGGCTTCAGGAAGTCCGCCGTGGCCCGCCACCTCAGCAAGAAGTGAGCACCTGGCATCTAGCCTTTTCGTGTTATTAATCCCTCTCTTTACTATGTGCTGCTATACGTTGTCTATGCTATATATAGCGCATATACTGCTGATGACAACAAATCGTATGGATGTGGTGTCGTGACTTGACTTTTGACATTAATCTGAAGACTGTTTTATCTAATTAACTAACTATGTTTAATTGTTACCCGATTATATGAATCATGTAACAATTAACTCATTAGGATCTGGGGCACCACGAGATAAGTTCTTTAAAGAGTTACCACCTCCCGAATTAAACTCTAAAAGGTCTTTACATCTATAAACAGTCAACTTTTTGATCATAACCTCGTATCATATCATTATTCTGAACAGTCGTAACCTCCTTGCATTTGCAAAAACCAGAGCCTTACTTATGATTCAGTACTACACAAATTGGTTTAATTATTTATTTACTAGCTAATTAAATGGGAACACAGGATAAACATACACACTCTGCACCGGTTATTGACTGGAGAAATCAGGTCCCTAGCGGAATGACAACAACATGGCTGCTTGTTAAAGAGATGGAGTGGGAGAGAGAGAGGGACAGAGACACTTAACTTTGATACATTCAGAAACTACGCTCACCTACAGTACCCATATACTTTGCACACAAACCCCCGCCCGCTTTGAGTAAGAAATCATTAATGTATTTACGTGAAATGCCTTGGTTCGCCGGGAATCTCTCTGTGAACCGGACCGCCTCGGAAGGGGGGTGGGCCTTTTCACGGCACGCTTGTAAGTCTCTTATTGTCCGAAATGGTTCCAACAGTCTTCTATTGTTGTCTTTCTTCGTAGTTGTCCGGTCTCCGATCATTTGTCATGTAGTCCTGAACAGAACTACAGAATAGATTTTCCTTCCATTCGCTCTTGAAGTTACTTCTTTGAAGGTAGGCTAGCCAGCCGTATTGATGGTTTCCCAGTGGGGTGATGAGAGTAGCGTAATACGATGGTTTGAGCAGAGTAGCAGATGGTCCTACTTAAATTCACTTTCGAAGATACCTTACTTAGGACAGCTTATCAGCCGTACTAGTGATTGTCCGGGAGGTGAGTTTATTTTCTTCACCTCGTGTTGAGATTCAAAGTTCCAACCATTTTAAACGTGTAGCTGCCGCCTCACACTTTTCTGTTCTAATGTGTTAATTCGTAACCCATCATTTATACATTCTGTAAGAAAGGGGCGGTTCTGGCAGTCTGGCACGCTTTCTGACCTCACTTTGGGGCGCCAATTACTCACGGTTCAAAGTTATGAAAAACAATTATCTCTTATAACTTCTCAAATCACATCCCTCTCTTAACAAAAACCCTTTCATCACTGTTCATATTACATGCAGAACGCATAGTATGGCAAGGTCAAATATGTAGTGGGTATACTGTCCAGGTTACTGTATTTCCTTTATAACATTTTTGATGGCATCACAAAATAACAAACAAAATAACATTAGTGTTCTATAGACCGCCTCTGACCATTCCCCAATTTCTAAGCTCGAAATATTGTTCCAGTATTCGTTTTGAACGTGTTGGAGTTTCAGCTGGAAAAGGCCTGTTGAAACAAAGACATTCCTTTGGTGAATCTTGGAGAGGGAGAGAGAGATCTTCTTCCCTTAATTTACAACAGGGTGTGAGTTGTTAACCCCCCCTAGTTCTTTCCTTTTTTTTTTTTTCACCTTTATTTAACCAGGTAAGCCAGTTGGGAACAAGTTCTCATTTACAACTGCGACCTGGCCAAGATAAAGCAAAGCAGTGCAATAAAAACAACACAGAGTTACATATGGGGTAAACAAAACATAAAGTCAAAAATACAAACAGAAAATATATATACAGTGTGTACGAATGTAGTAAGTTATGGAGGTAAGGCAATAAATAGGCCATAGTGCAAAATAGTTACAATTTCGTATTAACACTGGAATGATAGATGTGCAAAAGATGATGTGCAAATAGAGATACTGGGGTGCAAATGAGCAAAATAAATAACAATATGGGGATGAGGTAGTTGGGTGGGCTAATTTCAGAATGGCTGTGTACAGGTGCAGTGATCGGTAAGCTGCTCTGACAACTGATGCTTAAAGTTAGTGAGGGAGATAAGAGTCTCCAGCTTCAGAGAGTTTTGCAGTTTGTTCCAGTCATTGGCAGCAGAGAACTGGAAGGAATGGCGGCCAATGGAGGTGTTGGCTTTGGGGATGACCAGTGAGATATACCTGCTGGAGCGCAGACTACGGGTGGATGTTGCTATGGTGACCAGTGAGCTAAGGTAAGATGGGGATTTGCCTAGCAGTGATTTATAAATGACCTGGACCAGTGGGTTTGGCGACGAATATGTAGTGAGGACCAGCCAACAAGAGCATACAGGTCACAGTGGTGGGTAGTATATGGAGCTTTGGTGACAAAACGGATGGCACTGTGATAGACTACATTCAATTTGCTGAGTAGAGTGTTGGAGGCTATTTTGTAAATGACATCGCCGAAGTCAAGGATCGGTAGGATAGTCAGTTTTACGAGAGTATGTTTGGCAGCATGAGTGAAGGAGGCTTTGTTGCAAAATAGGAAGCCGATTCTAGATCTAACTTTTGATTGGAGATGCTTAATGTGAGTCTGGAAGGAGAGTTTACAGTCTAACCAGACACCTAGGTATTTGTAGTTGTCCACATACTCTAGGTCAGACCCGCCGAGAGTAGTGATTCTAGTCGGGTGGGCGGGTGCAAGCAGCGTTCGGTTGAAGAGCATGCATTTAGTTTTACTAGTGTTTAAGAGCAGTTGGAGGCTACGGAAGGAGTGTTGTATGGCGTTGAAGCTTGTTTGGAGGTTTGTTAACACAGTGTCCAATAAAGGGCCAGATGTATACAAAATGGTGTCGTCCACATAGAGGTGGATCCGAGCTTCACCAGCAGCAAGAGCAACATCATTGATATACACAGAGAATAGAGTCGGCCCGAGAATTGAACCCTGTGGCACCCCCATAGAGATGGCCAGAGGTCCAGACAACAGGCCCTCCGATTTGACACATTGAACTCTATCTGAGAAGTAGTTGGTGAACCAGGTGAGGCAGTCATTAGAGAAACCAAGGCTATTTAGTCTGCCAATAAGAATGTGGTGGTTGACAGAGTCGAAAGCCTTGGCCAGGTCGATGAAGACGGCTGCGCAGTACTGTCTTTTATCGATCGCGGTTATAATATCGTTTAGGACCTTGAGCGTTGCTGAGGTGCACCCATGACCAGCTCGGAAACCGGATTGCATAGCGGAGAAGGTACGGTGGGATTCGAAATGGTCGGTGATCTGTTTGTTAACTTGGCTTTCAAATACTTTCGAAAGGCAGGGCAGGATGGATATAGGTCTGTAACAGTTTGGATCTAGAGTGTCACCCCCTTTGAAGAGGGGGATGACCGCGGCAGCTTTCCAATCTCTGGGGATCTCAGACGTTACGAAAGAGAGGTTGAACAGGCTAGAAATAGGGGTTGCGACAATTTCGGCGGCTAATTTTAGAAAGAAAGGGTCCAGATTGTGTAGCCCAGCAGATTTGTAGGGGTCCAGATTTTTCAGCTCTTTCAGAACATCAGCTGTCTGAATTTGTGTGAAGGAGAAGCGGGGGGCGGCATGGGCAAGTTGCAGCGGAGGGTGCAGAGCTGGTGGCCGGGGTAGTGGTAGCCAGGTGGAAAATGCTTGTTTGCATGGCCAGCCGTATATCGCGGGGGCTGTTCGATGCTAATGCAGTACGCCACAGGATGTTTTTGTGCTGGTCAAGGGCAGTCAAGTCTGAGGAGAACCAGGGGCTTTATCTGTTCTTAGTGCTGAATTTTTTGAATGGGGCATGCTTATTTAAGATTGAGAGGAAAGCACTTTTAAAGAACAACCAGGCATCCTCTACTGACGGAATGAGGTCAATATCCATCCAGGATACCCGGGCCAGGTCAATTAGAAAGGCCTGCTCGCTAAAGTGTTTTAGGGAGCGTTTGACAGTGATGAGGGGTGGTCGTTTGACCGCGGACCCTTACAGACGCAGGCAATAAGGCAGTGATTGCTGAGATCCTGGTTGAAGACAGCGGAGGTGTATTTAGAGGGTACATTTGTCAGGATGATATCTATGAGGGTGCCCATGTTTACAGATTTAGGGTTGTACCTGGTAGGTTCGTTGATAATTTGTATGAGATTGAGGGCATTTAGTTTAGATTGTAGGTTGGCCAGGGTGTTAAGCATATCCCAGTTTAGGTCACCAAGCAGTACGAACTCTGAGGATAGATGGGGGGCAATCAGTTCACATATGGTGTCCAGGGCACAGCTGGGGGCTGAGGGGGGTCTGTAGCAAGCGGCAACAGTGAGAGATTTATTTCTGGAAATGTGGATTTTTAGAAGTAGAAGCTCAAACTGTTTGGGCACAGACCTGGATAGTACGATAGAGCTCTCTGCAGTAGATTGCAACCCCACCCCCTTTGGCAGTTCTATCGAGACGGAAAATGTTGTAGTTGGGGATGGACATTTCTGAATTTTTGGTGGCCTTCCTAAGCCAGGATTCAGACACTGCTAGGACATCAGAGTTGGCGGAGTGTGCTAACACAGTGAATAACTCCAACTTAGGGAGGAGGCTTCGGATGTTAACGTGCAAGAAACCAATGCTTTTACGGTTACAGAAGTTAACAAATGATAACGCCTGGGGAGTAGGAGTGATACTGGGGGCTACAGTGCCTGGGTTAACCTCTACATCACCAGAGGAACAGAGGAGGAGTATAATAAGGATACTGCTAAAGGCTTTAAGAACTGGTCTTCTAGTGCGTTGGGTACAGAGAAAAAAAGGGCCAGGTTTCGGGGCGTTGTACGGGTGATTGAAGTTATTCATTGCAAACCTGATCTGATCTATTTGGATTCTCGTGGACAGTCATGACAGTGGATAACATTTACAAAATCTCGCTGTCTCTCTCTCTCTGCTATACTAACTCTAGTCTGGACCTTGTCTGACCCCTCGGTCTTCCTACACGACTGTGCTCTTGGATTGTTTGACTGTCTGTCTCTCCGTCTGTCTGTACCTTCATCCGTCTGTCCATCTGGTGAAAAGGAATTTAGGATGAGAAGAGCTTCTTCCTGTCTGACAGATCCACCCTGGGAAAAACAGTTTCAAACTGAGTGTTATTATAGGGGAATTAGTCCAAAGATGTCACGTTCGGCGCATCTTAAACTCTCACAATTATCATTCCCAATGAAAAGCTGTCTGTCTGTGTGTTTATCTGTCTGTCCTTCTGTCTATCTGCACGTCCATATTCATGGACATCTGTCTGTCTGTCTGATGAAAAGGAATTTAGGATGAAAAGAGCTTCCTCCTCTCTGACAGATGCACCCTGGGAATCACAGTTTTTGGCCCTAAGTCTTTGTCTCAAGGTCTCAAACCAACTGGCAGTGACTGACAGGCTGAATGGCCTTGTGTGTTTGAGCTGGGAAAGCCAGCATCTGATTAACATGTTGCTCTCTCTCTCTCTCTTTCTCCTTCTCCCTCTCTCTCTCTCTCTTCCTCTCTCTCTCTTTTTCTCTCTTTCTCTCTCTATCCCCAGCAATGACTTTAGTCGTAAGGTTGCAGAGGAGTATCTACACTTCTTTAACTTCACAGGTCTTACTGTGGACCAGGCTCTGAGGTGAGGGGTTCAGACTGACTGACTTGTTCAACTAAAAAACAAACACACGTTTTAGTTTTTCCATAAATTGGTTCTTGACACCAATGACTGGATTTCTAGACATTACGAACATTGTTTTGGACATGTTGCCTTAAATGGGAATACTGCCCTCTGGTGGCAGGCTGAGGGAAGGTAGCCTAATATGCAACAGTAGTGTTTCTAACCCAGAAATAACACTCCTGATTCAATTAATCAAGGGCTTGGTGATTAATTAAGTCGTTGAATGACATGGGCAGGTGCGTAATGAGGTGCGTTACCGCTGGGCTGGAACCAACATTTGCCACCCTTTAGGATACTGGAAACACTGTGCTTCTGCTCAATGTGTGTATCTGTGTGTTCCAGAGCCTTCCTCAAACAGTTTGCCCTGATGGGGGAGACTCAGGAGAGGGAGCGGGTGCTGTCTCACTTCTCCAGGAGATACCTGCACTGTAACCCCAAACTCATACCCTCTGAGGGTAAGAGGACGGCACTGTCTAATGTCTACTATAGCTACTATAGGAGTATCACAGCTCAGTCGTCATGTTAATAGATTGATATGTTTCCTCCTTATCCAGATGGTGTCCATACCTTGACCTGTGCCCTGATGCTGCTAAACACAGACCTGCATGGCCATGTAAGTAGAGTTATCTGTGTGTGTGTGTCTGTGTGTCTGTGTGTGTGTGAGAGAGAGTATGTGTGTGTGTTAGGGGATACACATTTCATTGAGTTCAGCGTAGAGTTCAGAGTAGAGAAATTTTTCAGAGATCCATTCTCCCCCAGGCTCCACTGACTCAGTATAGCGGTAGCTTTGGGAAATAAGCCCCAGACTTATCGAAAGCTGATCTGGGACCAGCCTCCTGATTACAATGTGCTCTACACTCTATCATAAAATCCAGTCCATATCAAACTGTAGACTGATTCCAGTATAACTCTAAAATCTAGGCCATCTATTGCTGCATGCATGGTGTGATGTGCAGCCTCTGCAGATGACTACAGGTAGTTTAGTCAAAACCATTTATATAATATATGGAAATATTCAGCTCTGGTTGAAGGGGCTAGAGCTGGCTGGATGAGAAACCCACTCTCTCAGGGGAAGGGGGGATTGATAGATGCCTGGCAGGTATAACTCTGTGCTTCATCATCATAATCACCATCATCATCATCATCATTCATCATCGTCACCAATGTCATCATCTTCTTCTTCAAAATCATCATCGTCATCAATGGCGTCATCCTGATCATCATCATCATCATCAAAAAAATAAATAAAAAAATTAATAGTCCCCGCATCTTCTTCATCTTTGTCTTCACTCACTATCGCTTTTCATCAATATTTTCAGCATGCAATAGTAGCAGATTGGGATCTGTGAAACTCACTCCTCAGTCTGAAGTGTTCCCCTTGCGCTGCCGAATAGCTAGCTTTTCGGTGGTGCGACTGAGTAAGACGCTTCAGGAGGGCGGTCATGTTTGTTTGCGAGGCAGAGGTCATGCGTTCGAGCCTCAGTGTGAGCCCAATCAGGAGAAAGCGGTACTCGCTAAGCAAGCAGTGTGACGTCCTTTAAATAATCTCCCTCTGAACACTCAGCTCATCAGCTAGATTAAATCAATTGGATGAGGTCCCTGAAAGTCATTTCTCCCCATAACATCCTTCAGAGATGAATTCTAATATAGCAGTTTGTCAGAGAGCTGCAGAAGGACAGATGAATTAGACAATCTGTGCCTCGAATATTTTAGATGACTGATGTTGGTGAGGCTTTTAAAGATTATATTTATTTATAGCATAGTAGTCTCGGAAATCCCAGAGATAGGGTAACAGCACTAGGTCTAACAAATCACAAGTTTGGCTAGGAGGGGCTTAAAAATAATCCCCTCGGAAACATGACAGAGGCGGACACACAATGCAGACGCAGATAGCTAGGCAGATTTTAGCCACAGCCATTCAGTATGTTTTAGGCTTGTAAAGCTAATGTCATGGCGCATGCAAACTACTCACTTGCGAAATACACTCATTGAAAATATCTAGCTAGCTAGCTACCGGAAATGTATATGGCAGGGCTCTGGACGGATTTTCTGGCACCCAACTCCGCCCTTTCCTCTCTGCCAAACTGACGTTGGTTTGAGGACAGACATGTATGCTGGAACTTTGGCACATTGTGGGAGGCAACCCGTCTGTCTAGAGCAGGGATGGACAACTGGTGGTATTCTACTATGAGAGTTAGAATAGTAGAATACACAAGGTGCAATTTCTAAATTTGGTTGTGCATCTAGAGAGACTAATAGCATAGAGTAAATTCTGTGTGTCATATTTTTCAGAACATTGGCAAAAGGATGTCCTGCACACAGTTCATTGACAACCTGGAGGGTCTGAATGAGGGACAAGACTTTCCCAAAGACCTGCTGAAGGTGAGTCACTGTACTGTACATTGCTATAAAAACACACATACACACACTATTTGTTGTGTTGTCTAGCAGACCAGGAGAAGACGTACTGTACCTTCCCTCTGGGGCATCTGCGCTCGAGATCGGACAATATTAGATTATGCTATTAGCTTCTCCCTGTTGTGGGCAGCGTAATGGGGTTAGGCCCATCTGGGGCCATTCATTTAGAGCCCACAGGCACACCAGTGGATGCCAGATGAGATAAATCAGTGGGGTTGCCTGCCGTTGACGTGGCTAATGATGATGCGTTTGAGTCGTTTTGTCTGCAAAGCGTTCCCTCAACGCGTAAGTCAACAAGTTGTAATGGTGTATCTAAAATTCATGAGAGAGAGGGAGAGGGGGGAAGAGGGAACCAGGGAATATTTTTCACCCATAAATGAAGGGGTAGGAATTCTAAAATGACAGGCTTTGCTGTTATTAAGTCAGGATAGCATCAGCCCCCTGCCGTGGTACAGCTTTAAGCTGAGAGAGAAAGAGAGAGAGAATGAGAGAGAGAGCGAGAGAGAGAGAGAGAGAGAGGGTTGTGGGGTGGGGGGAGCACAGGAATAAGCCCATTGATTTAGGGTAGCTGTTTTATTAATGCACTGTATATATCCAGGAATAATCTTTTAAGTCATGCTCTCCTCCCACTCCCTTTTTCTCCCTCTCCTTCTCTACCTCTCCACTTTCTATCTCGTTTTCTCTCGTTCTCTCCCACTCCTTGTTCTCCTCTCTGCCCCATTCCCCTTCTAGCTTATCCCGCCATCATTTCCTTCAGACTAAATGACTGTCATGTCGTTCCCGATTATCTGCTTCATATCCTTCATTTCCTTCCCTCCTTTTCCTGCTTTCCCATTTCCCCTCCATCTCTGGTGTGTATTCCCTGGTCAGCAGCAGAGTATCCATTATCATAATAATGTTCCATTACATACAGACACACACACACACACACACACACACACACACACACACACACACACACACACACACACACACACACGTGGGCGCACACGCATATACACACACTGGTCTGTGTCTCATACTTGGGACAACCTGAGCCTGGCATCCGCACTAAAGGACTTAAAGTAGGGGCTATCTTTCCCTTTCTCCCTTTCTCCCATTCTCTCTCTCTCTCTCGCTCACACACACACACACACACACGCATGCATGCATGCATTTTCTGGACTTTTTGGGGAGTAAATATTTATTTCCTCAATTCAAAATCCTATTTTCCCTAACCCCTAACTCCTAACCCTAAACCTTAACCCTAACCTTAACCCCAAACCCTAACTCCTGTGTATCCAAGATGGCGTAGCAGTGCGGTCGTGTTCTCTGTTGTGTCCATGTAAATAGCTTGTTTTTTGTATGTTATTTTGTATTTTACTTATATATTTCCCTATCACACTTTTCATCCTTCTACTAAATATACTTTCCTGCAACCCGCCTCACTCAATGTGGAACGGATTCTATTATTTACTCACCTTTATCTAGAATCTCCAGTTGAAACTAGCTAGCCAACTAACTAGCTACTTACTATTAGCCACCGTTAGCGGTTTTCACCCAACAATCAGATTTTCTGCCGGAATAACTGAATCACTGGACCTTAACACCGGATCGCAACTAGCTAGCCGCAACCAAATGGATGTTGCTGTAGGCTAATTACCACTGCCCTCGAAGCTAGCACCAGTTAGCCTTGAGCTAGCCTCGAGCCAGGCCCATATCCCGGCTATCTACCTCTTTGTTTACCGGACGGGAGTAGCCAGCTAACTAGCTACTTGCTATTAGCCACCATTAGCGTTTTTTCACCATTGTCCGTGGCCTGCACAACCTACCAGCCAGCTCTAGCCTGGACTATTATCGGCCAGTCTGCACTGTCTGCACAGCGCGTTATCGACCCAGAACATATCGGATTTTCTGCCAGAATCACTAAATCACTGGAACTTTAACACCGGATCATCGCTACTAGCTAGCTGCAACCAAATGGATATTGTTGTTGGCTAATCAGCCTTGAGCTAGCCTTGAGCTAGCCTCGAGTCAGGCACATCTCCCGGCTATCTACCTCTCTGTCAACCGGACGGGACCTCCTAGAGTCGACACGGAGCCCCCGCCGATCCATCACGACTGGTCTGCCGACGTAATCGTCTGTGGTTTCAACAGGCTTCCCATTGCGACGACCACAAAGATCCATCTGCTAGCCCCAGCCCGCTAGCACACGCAAACAACAGCCGTGCTTCCTGCTCGCTGTGCTGTAGCACCAATTCGAACTGCTCTCGGACTCACATATTACTGTTCACTGGACCTTATGATCACTCAGCTGCACAGCTGATGCCTGCTGGACTGTTCCTTTACACGGTACCCTGTCCTGTTTATCTGTTTAGCCTCAGCCAAAACTTTCATCGCCATTACCAGTTGTTGTCTTAGCTCTCTCTAATTTTTTACATTTTAGTCACTTAGCAGACGCTCTTATCCAGAGCGACTTACAGTTAGTGAATACAATTTTTTTTTTTTATATATATTTTTTTTATACTGGCCCCCCATGGGAATCGAACCCACAACCCTGGCGTTGCAAACGCCATGCTCTATCAACTGAGCTACATCCCTGCCGGCCATTCCCTCCCCTACCCTGGACGACGCTGGTCCAGTTGTGCGCCACCCATGAGTCTCCCGGTCGCGGCCGGCTGCGACAGAGCCTGGATTCGAACCAGGATCTCTAGTGGCACAGTTAGCACTGCGATGCAGTGCCTTAGACCACTGCGCCACTCAGGAGACATAACACCTAATAATAACACCTGTGATTGCTTTATGCCTCTCTCCCATGTCAATATGCCTTGCCTATTGCTGTTCCAGTTAGTTCTTATTATACAATTTCAATATAGAACCCCAAGTTATTCTCAAACTGCCTCAAATAGCTCCTTTGTTCCACCCCCCATACACGCCGAGACCGGATCAATCGGTGCCTCCAGTGATGCTATCTCTTTCATTGTTACCCAACGCTTAGGTTTACTTCCACTGTACTCATATCCTTCCATATCCTTGTCTGTACATAATGCCCTGAATCTATTCTACAACGCCCGGAAATCTGCCCCCTTTATTCTCTGTACCCAACGCACTAGAAGACCAGTTCTTAAAGCCTTTAGCCATATCCTTATTCTAGTCCTCCTCTGTTCCTCTGGTGATGTAGAGGCTAACCCAGGCCCTGTATTCCCCAGTATCACTCCTACTCCCCAGGAGCTATCATTTGTTGACTTCTGTAACCGTAAAAGCCTTGGTTTTCTGCACGTTAACATCAGAAGCCTCCTTCCTAAGTGTGAGTTATTCACTGCATTAGTGTCTGAATCCTGGCTTAGGAAGGCCACCAAAAATGTCCATCCCCAACTACAACATTTTCAGTCTAGATAGAACTGCCAAAGGGAGTGGTGTTGCAATCTACTGTAGAGAGAGCCTGCAGAGCTCTATCATACTATCCAGGTCTGTGCCCAAACAGGTTGAGCTCCTACTTCTAAAAATCCACCTTTCCAGAAATAAGTCTCTCACTGTTGCCGCTTGCTACAGACCCCCCTCAGCCCCCAGCTGTGCCCTGGACACCATATGTGAATTGATTGCCCCCCATCTATCCTCAGAGTTCGTACTGCTTGGTGACCTAAACTGGGATATGCTTAACACCCCGGCCATCCTACAATCCAAACTAGATGCCCTCAATCTCACACAAATTATCAAGGAACCTACCAGGTACAACCCTAAATCCGTAAACATGGGCACCCTCATAGATATCATCCTGACTAACTTACCCTCTAAATACACCTCAGCTGTCTTCAACCAGGATCTCAGCGATCACTGCCTTATTGCCTGCGTCCGTAACGGGTCCGCGGTCAAACGACCACCCCTCATCACTGTCAAACGCTCCCTAAAACACTTTAGCGAGCAGGCCTTCCTAATTGACCTGGCACAGGTATCCTGGATGGATATCGATCTCATTCCGTCAGTAGAGGATGCCTGGTTGTTCTTTAAAAGTGCTTTCCTCTCAATCTTAAATAAGCATGCCCCATTCAAAAAATTCAGAACTAAGAACAGATATAGCCCCTGGTTCTCCTCAGACTTGACTGCCCTTGACCAGCACAAAAACATCCTGTGGCGTACTGCATTAGCATCGAAAAGCCCCCGCGATATGCAACTTTTCAGGGAAGTCAGGAACCAATATACACAAGCAGTTAGGAAAGCAAAGGCTAGCTTTTTCAAACAGAAATTTGCATCCTGTAGCACTAACTCCAAAAGGTTTTGGAACACTGTAAAGTCCATGGAGAATAAGAGCACCTCCTCCCAGCTGCCCACTGCACTGAGGCTAGGAAACACTATCACCACCGATAAATCTACAATAATCGAGAATTTCAACAAGCATTTTGCTACGGCTGGCCATGCTTTCCACCTGGCTACCACTACCCTGGCCACCAGTTCTGCACCCTTCGCTGCAACTTGCCCATGCCCCCCCCCCCCCCCCCCCCCCCCCCCCCCCCCCCCGCTTCTCCTTCACACAAATTCAGACAGCTCTAAATCTGGACCCCTACAAATCATCTGGACCCTTTCTTTCTAAAAATAGCCGCCGAAATTGTCGCAACCCCTATTACTAGCCTGTTCAACCTCTCTTTCGTAACGTCTGAGATCCCCAGAGATTGGAAAGCTGCCACGGTCATCCCCCTCTTCAAAGGGGTGACACTCTAGATCCAAACTGTTACAGACCTATATCCATCCTGCCCTGCCTTTCGAAGGTTTTTGAAAGCCAAGTTAACAAACAGATCACCGACCATTTCGAATCCCACCATACCTTCTCCGCTATGCAATCCGGTTTCCGAGCTGGTCATGGGTGCACCTCAGCCACGCTCAAGGTCCTAAATGATATTATAACCGCGATCAATAATAGTCAGTACTGTGCAGCCGTCTTCATCGACCTGGCCAAGGCTTTCGACTCTGTCAACCACCGCATTCTTATT